AGGAGGCAAACAATCAGCGAAGAGCAAGAAGGAGCCACAGGAAAAGGAGAAGGACGCTCCTTTTCCATCTTCTTCTGAGACGGTAAACAACAGCAGTAAACAAAGCAGCACCAGCAACGCCGGGAACTACTACTCACAAAAGCGAAGGCCCTCTACGAAACTCTGGTCAAGGGTGATCACCGACCTGCTTGGCTTCCTGGGTATCAGCCAGACGATATCCTTCCACGAGGCGGACGCCCTCATGGCCAAGGTGGCCGACCGGGGCATCGGCGCGCCCATTCTCTCCAACGACAGCGACTTCTTCTTCCTCGACCTGCCGGGAGGTGTCATCTCGATGACCGCCCTGCTGGACAGCCACAAAGTGGTCACTGAGAAGGAGGAGGTAAAGGACGGAGAGGAGACGGTCCTCAGCTACATTGCCTGCCAGCGCTACAGCATCGCCACATTTGAAAGGGTGTTCAACCTACAGCGAGCCCTCTTGACCACTGTCGCCGCGCCGATGCTCGATTTCGAGTACTCGGCAGTGCTGGAGGCGCTCACCAAGGAGTCGCATCGAATGCAGCAAATGGAGGCCCTCTTTCACTGGCTGGGCGGCTGTCCGTCAGCTTTGAAGGCAGCTCAGTTTTTACTGAAGCACTATCGAGGTATTGAGGGCTTGAAAGAACTGGTTACGAAGATGCAGTACCTGGATCAGGCAGCCACGGAGGCTGCTAAAAAAGAAGAGGAAAAAAAGAAAAAAGAAGAAGAAGAGGAGAAAAAGAAGAAGGAGGAGGAAGAAAGTAAAACCGCTTCAAAGGAGGAAAAGGAGGAAAAAGAGACGGATAAAGAAGGCGATGAAAAAGAAGCGACGGATGAGCAGCAAAAGAAGCCCTCCAAACTGGCGTCCGTTATCGAAGAGGCGCAAAATGCCATCGAGGCGAACGCCGACACGCAGAACATCACCCGCAGTCTGCCGAAGTACATCGCCGAGGGCGCCCTCTCCGGGGCCATTCACAAACGCGTCCTCTACATTCTCATCAACCGCAAGGACATCTTCTACCCGGTGGTGGAGGACGGCAGCCTCCCGCCGGGGATGTCCGCCAGCAGCTGCTGCACCAAGCTGTGTCGCCAAATTTACGCCCTCTTACGAAGATCGGAAGACAGAAGTCCGGGCAACCCGGACAATCAGATCATGCGGTACTTTGCCAATGAGGCGCCGGTGGCGGTCGATCCGCTGTACACCGAGCTGACCACCCGCCGGCCGCTGCCCACCGTCTGGGAGATTGAGCAGCGGATGTCGGCGGCGGTGGACGACCGGCAGGCGCTCTTCCTGAACATCCTCGAGGTGGAGCCATCTTTGGGCATGAGGATGCTCACCCTCTTTCAGAAGCACCTTCCTACTGCCTACATCGAAGAGCTGACGCACCTGAGCACTNCCTCGAGGTGGAGCCATCTTTGGGCATGAGGATGCTCACCCTCTTTCAGAAGCACCTTCCTACTGCCTACATCGAAGAGCTGACGCACCTGAGCACTATGATGCTCGCCTTTGCCTACTTTTCGCGCAATCTCGCCGTTGAGCTGTCGCTGGAGTACATCTACGCGCTGATGGTCAACATTCTCTTCACGGGGCACACCTCGGCGGTGGCCGAGGTGAATGACAACCGGTGGAAGCTGCTGCCGTTTAAAAGCCTGCCTCTTGAGGGCCTCTCAAAGTACGACTTTGTGCCGAACGATCACGTGAAGATGAAGTACGGCGGCGGCTTCCTGTCGCGCATCACCCACTACAGCGGCTCCTTTCAGGACTGCCTGGAGAACGTCCTCTTCCTGGCGAAGGTCCTCGACATCAGCGACCTGTGGGACGTCAATGAGCAGCTGTTTGGCCTGCACGGCACCTTTGTGTACAACCTCACCAAGGAGTTGATGAGCTCGCCGGCGCCGTGGACCTTTCTGAAGGAGAACGTTCTGGCGCTTAAGAAGAAGGAGGAGGGAGGAACAAGTGTTACGTTTCCTCTGTGGCCACTCTATGAGGACCTTGTGCGGCTGGCGTTGGAGTANAAGAAGGAGGAGGGAGGAACAAGTGTTACGTTTCCTCTGTGGCCACTCTACGAGGACCTTGTACGGCTGGCGTTGGAGTTCAGCGGGCGGCAGTTTGAGGCCTCGTTGGTCGATGAGCATCGCCAGCAGCAGCAGCTGCCACAGCCGAAGTTGGTAACTCCGGAGACTAAACTGCTGACTGAACAACTGGCTAAGAAAAAAAGAGACAAAACTAAAAGCAAACCACTGATCACCAGAGGATTCAGGAGCAAACAGAGTGGCTTCTTTCAACAGGGTCGATCAAAGGGACCGAACGGGGGACAACCACAACGACAGCAGCCGACGCCTGCCTCGATGTCCCGTTTCCCAAACAACAGCAGCAGCAGCAGCATTAACAATCGATACAGCAACAATCCTTCAGCAGTCCCAACACCTAGCGAGACTGGAGGCAGCTGGAGACGAAAGATTTAACTTGCCAAAAAGACGATTTTATAATATAAAAACTCGCTCGTTTATTATTTACTTAATTAAAGTATTATTAAATTGTATGAACATTCTTTGGCAGTGAGGAAAGTAAAGTTGATTACTGAGACTCCTTGAAAGACGATTAGAAGAGGAAGAGAAAGTGGTGGATGTTTACTGGTAATCACACCGCTTTAGGAAAAGGAAAGGAAAAGCACAGCTGCTCTACTTCTTCAGCAGAAGGCCGCCCTTGAGGCCAAGGCCCAGCGAGGAGACGCCCAGCGTGGAGACGCCCAGTGGGGCGCCGATGATGGCTCGGCTGCCCAGAAGGCCGGGGGCGGCAACGCCCAGGGTGGACACGCCGCCGATGAGGGGCGAGCCGAGGGTGGTGACGCCACCGCCGATCAAGGGGGCGCCGAGGGTGCTGACGCCCCAAGGAGCGCCGATGCTTCGGGTGGTGATGGCAGAGCTGAGGCCGATGGGGGCACCGAGCGTGGACACGCCGCCGATCAGCGGGGCACCGAGGGTGGACACGCCGCCGATGAGGGGGGCGCCGAGGGTGCTAACGCCCCAGGGAGCGCCGATGCTTCGGGTGGTGATGGCAGAGCTGAGGCCGATGGGGGCACCGAGCGTGGACACGCCGCCGATGAGCGGGGCACCGAGGGTGCTGACGCCCAGTGGGGCGCCGACGAGGCCGACGGTGGCGGTGGCGGAGGCGGCCACGGAGAGCAGGGCGAGGACAGCCTAAAAGAGATTGAAAGAAGATTGGGTTAAAATAGGCGTTCAGGAGGAAAATCAACGATGAGACTCACGAAGAACTGCATTGTGGTGGATTTGGGTTGATTAGATTTTGGTTTGCAGCTGCAGTGCAAATGACTTGAGAAGTGGTGGTGCTGGAGCGTTTGATGATCTGCCGACTGGCTGGTGATGGGTATTTATAGTCGAGACGAAGCGGTGATCATCACCACCACCACCAGACGATTCAGATGAGTGAGAGAGGGAGAGAGACCAATTAGATGTTCCACCTTTCAGCCTGTGTGAAGTGATGATGATACGCTCTTTCAGTGGCAAAAAGTAAGTTTTGCAGACAGAAAAGCAAAAAGAAAAGGTGAAAGGAGATGCATTCTGCCGTGGGCAGCCGCCGTAGTCTTCGTCTGATGCACTGACGCGACCTTCGCGATACTACTTTGCTGTACACTGCTTTCGCTGCTGCCGATGTACATTTTCTGACCACCACTGCTGACTGACACTGACCACCACTACTACTGCTGATGCAGTGAAACGAGCAGTGTGCATTTCATCAGCCTCTAAAGACTTCCAAAGTGTGTGTTTGTGTTTGCTGTTGTTTCTGTACAGTTAGTTGCCGTACAGTGAATGAATGGAAGGAAGGTAGGAAGTGACCAACACGAACAACCAACCTAATTAAACGAATAGTACATTCACCTGACTTTAGGCGAAGGAGGTTTGAAGGTAATGTCTACGGCTAATTTCTGCATACTTTGTGTTCAGATAAGTAAGATGTTTCAGCTGCTGGTTTGTAAGACTATCAGGCAATTGCATCA